GGCTCTGCTCCTGGTTCCAGATTCCTACTGATTCTCACCTTGAGAAGCTCAGGTGATGCCTCAGGTAGGTGGGTCCCTGCTACCCACATGGGAGACCCAGATGGAGTTCCTGACTTCAGCCTGTCCTAGCCCTAGCATGTGGGGAATGGGTATTTCTCTCTGCCTTTCAAATAAGTAAATAAATATTTTTTTGTTTAAGAAACCCTTGGGGAAAGGGCACTGTGGCAGAGTGGGTGAAGCCACCGCTTGTGGCACCAGCATCCCATATGGGCACCAGTTCAAGTTCTGGCTGCTCCATTTCCAATCCAGCTCCCTGCTAATGTGCTGATGTGCCTGGGAAAGCAGCAGAAGATGGCCCAAGTCCTTGGGCCCCTGCACCCATGTGGGAGACCCACAGGAATCTCCTGGCTTTAGACAGGCCGAGCCCCAGCCATCATGGCCATTATGGTAGTGAACCAGCTGATGGGAGCTCTCTCTTTCTGTCTCTCACTCTCTCTTGATCTAAAAGCCATTTGCCTCCCCGATGCATAAATACAACACAATGAAATACACCTGACTTGGCATTCCTAATCACAACCCTCCTTCCAGTGTCCAGACAAACAGCCCAGTTCCCTACCTTACGTGTGGATTTGGCTCTCAGTGGAATGTGAAATGTCTTGCCTTTTTCCTCAGTTCTTCTCCATCGGAACACCTCTCTTAAGTTTCAGGTAAGAAGGAGGGCTAGTCTGCTGAGTACTGAAGGGAGTAACAGGGGGGATCTGGGTCACCTGCCCCAGATGTAATCTGGAAGCTCAGTTTGTAGACCATGCAGTTTGATTTGAGGGGCCTCCCTTTATGAGCTCAGAGATGGGTGTGCCCTGCTCTCATTGGCAGAAAAGGTTCCTCCACCTTCCACTCACTAGAGCCTCAGCTGGCTTTGCATAAGAAATGTTCACGGAGTTGTGGCTGTGTTCAGTACTTACAAGGAAATTAGATTTTAAGAAATGCACTCCAGAACAACTGTGCAAGTGCCTGTTTCATTCCACGTTCCCATTGTTGGCATGAGAGCAGCAGCTCTTCCTTGACACTGGAACAGCTGGATTTCACTCGAAATAAAGGTGTAGGTCACCCTTGCCCGTGAGTAGAGTTGACACATGTGTAAGTCAGCCTTGCCTACAATTACAGCCAGCACGCATGCAAGTCAGTTTTGCCTACACTTACAACTGATCACACATGTTAAGGCACCCCTATCTATGATTGTAACTGATCACATGTTATTTTTTTAATCAAAGTGAAACCAGCCATGAACTAAAAATTATTTATTGTAAATATAGTTTTCCAGTACTGATTTGTGTTCTTTAAATCTGTAATTGGGAAGTTGTAAACATCCACCTAGATTAAGAATTTCTGTTTTTTTAGATTCATTTATTTATTTGAAAGAGTTACACAGAGAGAGAAGGAGGGGTGTGGGGAGGAAGGGATCTTCCATCTGCTGGTTTACTCCTCAATTGGCCACAATGGCCAGAGCTGTGCTGATCCAAAGCCAGGAACTAGGAGCCTCCTCTGGGTCTCCCACAGAAATACAGAGGCCCAAGGACCTGGGCCATCCTCCACTGCCCTCCCAGGCCACAGCAGAGAGCTGGATTGGAAGCGCAGCAGCTGGATGCTGGTGTTGCATGGGGAGGCTTCCTACTATGCTATAGAGCCAGCACCTCTGTGAACATTTTAAGGAGTGTTCATGTGCATGGATTTCAAAGTGTTTTTACCAAAATAAATTTATCTTTTAATTCAATTTCTCATGAACTTTTTAGAGTACACCTGTATATATTCCATGAAATTTACTGCATTGAAGAAATTGAAATAGAAAGTTTTGGGCTGTTGTTAAAATACATATAATATATCTGTGAAATAGACTCACCGTGTAGAGCTATTTCAGGTTCATTGATCAGCAGTTCAAGAGATTTCCCATACACCCTTGCATAGGCATAGCCTTCTCCATGATCAAATTCTCATTTCAGAGAATACCTTTTGAAGAGGCAAAAACAAGATATGTGACATGTTTCCTAGAAAACCCATAATGGTTATGTTAAGTTTGCTTTAAATGTTCATTACCTAAATTGTGTAAGAAAATAGCCTTACCATAATCATAGGCTACTGGTGTTTTCAGGATTCATACAATTACTGTCTTTCTTGCTTGCATCAAGTGTCCACAGTTTGATGAAACCTTCTGTTCTGGTGATTATCACCCAAAAACACCTTCTACACAGGACTAGAAGATTCCTGTAGACTCTTCCTACTCTTTATTACACACATAGAGAGAGTACAGAACCTTCTCTAGCTATCCATGGAGAACAGTGGTAACCATTCCATACTGTAGAATTTGGTGAGTGGTATTAGCTTTTCTTGTAAAATCAAAAGGAAGCCAGGATCTACCTCTTAAACATCTGACCCCATACTTTGATTTCTCAGTGCCTCTTTTATATCTTCTCACTTCTATTGATATTGTTTCTGTTGGTAATTCCTATCCTGAGTGGAAGCCATACTGTTAAATTTATTTTCCTACAACATTTCTGAATCAGTTGGCATCGAATTGTGTATGAGATGAAATTCATGGAACACAGTTGTACAAATAAATCCAGTGGTTTCTAATTAAATTGTTAGCATCATTTTCTTCCTTTTCCTTGTATATCTTCAAAAAGCCTGCTCACTTACTCTGTCTCATCTTGTTTCTCTGCTCCTAAGTTACAGTGTAGCTCAATGGTCTACAGATTAGGAAGCTGCACTTTTTTTTTTATAAAAGTGACTTCTGGTGGATCCAGAAATGCAGTGAGACTCCCATCCTTTGCTGCCAGTCCCTCGTGTGTCAGATCTCCACTTTCCCTTCTTACCCCATTGCACTATTGCAATAACCGTCTAAAAATCCTTTTCAAACACATCAAAGTAGCCTTTGGAGAAGCTAACTAGAAACTTCTAGTGGTTGCAGTAATAATTAGCATCTGGGAAAAAACTTTCATAATCAGTCTCCAGTCCCAACTCTACACTCTGATTGCTGCTCCAAGTGGATAATAATTAATGTTCTGTCTGTGGGGAGGTGAGGTCATGGAATCACAAACCCATATCTCAGGATCTGACAGCCTTCCCTCTGCACTTGTGCTGACTGCTGTGACCCTCTCACTGAGCGCATCGTGATGCCACTGGGAAGAAGCTGGATGAGTTCTATTTCAATTTGAGAGGCAGAGTCATGAAGCAGAGTATGTCAGAGGAAAGGAGGACATTCCTGGGTGTCTATGTATTAACCGCGTCCAAAGTCAAGGCCTCACAGGGAGGAAGAATAATTCCTGAGGTATGAGCTGAGCTACGAAAGAATTAATTGGAATTCTAGGTAATTCCTAAAGCAATTTGGTATAATAATCAATGGCAGTGACTGTTGGCATTTGATATAAGTGATAATGAAGTCTGACTTTAAGGTACTTCAGGACTGTTCCAAGAACTTTTTGGAGTACATTTGTAGTTCCAGGATCATCTGCTATTGAACCAGCTTTACAGAATCGTGGTACAAATTTTAGGATGCCTAGCAGTGTGCCTGTAATACCTCCATGTATATAAATAAAGATGGGATTAATCAACATGGATCGCATTTTCCTGTGTACTGAATGACAGTTGTTGGGAATGTGTTCTCTAACTTTGGTGTATGATACCACTAATGAAGACAATGATTATGTTTATACTGAAGACATCTGTGGTCTTTGGATTATGGTTGATTATTTCTCCTCTTTAAGTTTGGCATTTAAATAAAATAAATTGTATAACTATGGGTTTCAGAAAGCTGTGTAATGCAATATTGTTTCCCATCCCATAATTTACGGAATGGCCTGGACTAATAGCTCCTAGCATAGGTGCCCTCGTATTGGTGTTTTTAGCATGAAAGCAGGTTAAACTTTCCCTCTTCCTGTGGAGGCCTTCTTCCTTTCATTGACTCCAACCAGATGTGGGGCAGGCTTCTGGGGTCTGCACGGCTCTCAGTGCACCTCCACTGGTGAAAATCTCTCATCTTCCAGTCCTCGTTGATTTTGGCCTATTTGCTGACCTGCAGACATAAATAGGGACTTGTTAACAACCAATAGCATCAAATAACGTATTCCCCGATCCAAAATAAGATAACAAGTTATGAAAACAAAAACAAATGTGTGAGGATACATAAGAGAAGTTAGTGGGAAGTGGAATTAAAAGGTAAGTTTATTTTAGTCCAAAACATTTTTTTAAAATTCATGCATATGAAGGGTTCTTCAAAAAGATCATGGAGATGCATATTATGGAAAACACGATGCATGGGTTTTGAAATCTCTGCACTATAATAAGCTTATCTATTATTAAAATTTTCCAAGGACTTTTTTAAAGTTCCCTCATATATCTAGGCTCTTTGGGGACCACCACTAACCAGCTTTTCACCCGTGTGCTGCTTTCATGTCGTCAGTGCCAGTCCAGGCAGTTTCAAGTCCTCACCTGTTCAAGTCCCCCAGCCTGTTTATGAATTCATACAAAACACTGACCTTCTCCTTCTCTGAGCTCCCGCTTCTTTATAATGTAAGTAATAGCAGGAGTGCCTCACATGTTTGTGGAAAGCAAAGACGGTGCCGGTGTGTGCTCTTCACTGCAGTGATTCATACACTGTAAGTCTTGTTTGCAGGTTACACACTAAACTCTTGGAAATCTTTTCTTTTCTTACTTAAGGAAATAAACTTCATGCATCTCATATATACAAATTTAGAACATAGTGATTCTTCCCGCACTTCCTTCCTCCAGACAATACTCCTTCCCTTCCTCCTGCTCCTCCCATTCCTATTCTTATTTTTCACCAGATCTATTGTAAGTTAACTTTAAATTCATAAAATTAACCCTACTCTAAGTGGAGAGTTCAACAATAGTATGAAGAAAAACAAAAAAAGCAAACAAGCAAAAAAGCATTGTTCCTCAACAGTCAAGACAAGGGCTGTTCAAAATCATCACGTCACAGAGTGTCAACTTCACACCTATAGATTACCTTTTAGGTACTCTATTAGTTACCACAGATCAGAGAGAACATGAGGTATTTGTTTTTGGAGGACTGGCTTATTTTCCTAAGTGCAGTGGTTTCCAGTTGTATCTATTTTGTTGTGAAAGAGAGGATTTCATTTTGGGGGGCGGGGCAGATCTCTTAATAAAAGAAGAAGAGCTCTCAGGATTTCTCAGTGGCGGAATTTCAGTTCCTGGAGAAGGTTGGTGTTCAGCTGGTGCTGTAAATGCATCTCACTCTTGGTCTTCTCATGCAGGTACCTGGTGTGAAGATACATGTCAGTCACCAGGAGCTAGCAGAATGGCTTCCTGGGAGGTGGCCACAGGAACGCTCTTCTTAGCTCAGGTCATATGTGGGATTCTGGGGAACTTCTCTCTTCTTTCCCATCATGTCTTCCTTTCCTTGACTGGATTCAAGGCAAGATGCACAGATTTGATTCTGAGGCACCTCCTTGTAGCCAACTGCTTGGTCATTCTCTCCTATGGAATGCCACAGGCTGTGACAGCTTTAAGGTGGAAATTTCTCCCCAGCGATGCTGAGTGCAACCTTCTTTTCTATGTACGAAGAGTGTCCAGGGCCGTGTCCATCGAAAGCACCTGCTTCTTGAGTATCTTCCAGGCCATCACCATCAGCCCCAGGAATTCTAGGTGGGCAGAGCTTAAAGTCAAAGCTCCCAGGTACATAGGCCTCTCCTCCATGCTGTGCTGGATCCTGAACATGTTAATAAACACCATTTCCCCCATCTACCTGACAAGTAAGTGGATCAACACAAGCATCACAAAGAGAAAAGACTATGGGTACTGTAACGCTGTCTTCCAAGACACCTTCACAGGCTCGCTCTTCTTGGCACTACTATTGTTGCCTGATGCTGTGTCCTTGGGGCTCATGCTCCTGGCCAGCAGCTCCATGCTGTTCAGCCTGCACAGACACAAGCAGCAGGTGCAGCACATTCATGGTCCCAGGAACGCTTCCCCCAGGACTTCCCCTGAATCCAGAGCTACTCGGAGCATCCTTGCTCTGGTGAGCACATTTGTATTTTTTTACGTGGTCTCCTCCACTTTCCAAGTGTATTTGGCTCTTCTTTGTAAGCCCAGTCGATTGACAGTGAACATCTCTGCATTATTTGCTGGCTGTTTCCCAACTCTTAGCCCCTATCTTCTCATGAGCTGTGACTCCAGGGTACCCAGGCTCTGCTTTGCCTGGATAAGGAATACAAAATCCCCTAACATTATCAGAAACATGTGCCTTGTATTTGCTTTATAATACTCACTTGTTGTACAATAGTATAGGCACAGTTATTTGGTAGCCATATTACAAGACCCTGTACGCATGCTTACACACACGTGTGTATGTATATAGGGTGTAATACACACTATTAGATGACATTTGTTATCAAGCAATCATAGTAGGATAATATATACTTAGAAATATAAAAATATTAGTCACAATAATAAACTGCTTTAAATCTACAGCCTCTTTTATTTGATATTTATGCAGTCATTAATTGAATAAGTCATATGAAATTTATTTTTCATTTTTCTACTTTAAGCCTTATATTTTAGGTATATATTTATAACTAACTAAGTATAGTCAAACAATGTTTAACAGGAATAGTCTCCTTGTTTTAAAATAACACCTGATATAATTGAGATTGGATTTCTCTAATTACCGTGGCACCTCTTGACATTTGTTCAGTATTCATGTTCTTTCTGCCTCAACTTTTTCTTTTTTAAAAACTTATTTACCTATTTGACAGGCAGAGTTACAGAGAGAGAGGGATCTTCCATGCACTCCCAATGGCTGCAACAGCTGGCGCTGCACCAGTCCATAGCCAGGAGGTTGGAACTCCATCCGGGTCTCCCACGTGGGTGCAGGGGCCCAAGCATTTGGACCATCTTCTGCTGCTTTCCCAAGCACCTTACTCAGGAACTGGATAGGAAGTGGAGCAGCTGGGACTCAAACCAGTGCTCACATGAGATGTCAGCATTGAATATGGTGGCATAACCCTGATGAGCCACAATGCTGGCCCTGACATAGGGCCATGATTGCAAGTTAAAATGGTCAGTTTTGGGGCCAGCGCTGTGACTTAGTAGAGAAAGCTGCTTTCTGCAGTGCTGGCATCCCATCTGGGCACCAGTTCATGTCCCGGCTGCTCCACTTCCAATCCAGCTCTCTGCTATGGCCTGGGAAAGCAATGGAAAATGGCTCAAGTTCTTGGGTCCCTGCCACCCACATGGGAATACCCGGAGGAATCTCCTGGCTCCTGGCTTCAAATTGGTGCAGCTCCAGACAGTACAGCCATCTGAGGAGTGAACAAGTGAATGAAGACCTCTCTCTCTCTCTCTCTCGCTCTCTCGCTCTCTCGCTCTCACTCTCTCTGCATCTCCTTCTCTGTGTAACTCTGAGGTTCAAATAAATAAATAAATCTTTTAAAAAATGAATAAAAAAACAAAATGGTCAGTTTTCTCTCTGAGCTAATGAGATTATGAACTTATGATATTATGTTTATTATTTTCCTAAATATGCTTCTGACTGTTGGAAATTTGATCATAAAGGCATCCCTCTATTTTGTTAACTCTTTGTATTTTATTATTGTCACCACAGTTTTACTTATATTTCAGGTTGGCTCGTAAAAGGAATTATCACCACTTACATGTGATTGTCCTTTTTAATGACTTACTCTATAGAATAAAACAAGCACCATCTTCATAACATAGTGTTTTATAAAATTAGGAATGGATATGCTATATACCTTTTCTAATTAAAGAAAAAGGTTTCAAGATGGCTTTGTGACATAGCAGATACAGCTGCCAACTGCAACATCAGCATTCCATATGGGTGCCATTCAGCTCCCAGCTGCTCCACTTCTGATCCACACCCTGCTAATGTACTCAGAAAAGCAGTGTAAAATGGTCCAAGGATTTGGGCCTTTGCCACCCTGGCTTTTAGCTTTGGCCTGGCCCAGCCCTGATTGTTGTGGCCATGGGGGAGTAAACCAGAGGATGGAAATTAAGTAATTTTCCAAAGAATGTTGGTATGCATCACCATGGAGTGCCATGTGATATCTGAATTGCATAAAAAGGGGGCTGCATGTCAACATGATGCAGAATACTCCATCTGGAGAGCAAACTGGCATTGGGCAAGGGATAATTGATGAGAATACTTAATTAGCTTTATTCTGTTATCTTACAAATACATGTGCTGTGAATTATCTATGGTGTTTCAACATTGCAATATATCCAAAAAAGTATTGGTGATGATTATTTCTTGCGATGTTTTCATGTAAGGAAGAAGGAACATGAAAGGAGGACTTCAGATGTAAAGTACGTTGGCCCAAGTGCTGCACCCACGTAGGACACCAGGGAGAAGCTCCTGGCCTCCTGGCTTTGGCCTGCCCCAGCCCTAGCCATTGCAGCCACTTAGAGAATGAACCAGCAGATGTAAGATTCCCTTTTTCTCTCTCTCCCTCTCCCTCTCTCTCCTTCTCTCTGTAACTCTGCCTTTCAAATAAATAATCCTTTTTTTAAAAAAAAGGCTCTTCAAAGTATATAAAATAAGGAAATCATTAAAAAAATAAGGAAATCATTATTTGAAAAGCATACCAACAGACCCTGGGGACGTGATAGGAGCAGTGTTTATCTCCATCCCTGAGTGTTGGATACCAAAGAACAACCTCTCCTACCAGACACACCAGGGTGTCTCTGTACCTGGCAGCTCCTGGAATGCAGAAAAGGCCCCTGTCCACTCAGATCTTCCCATATAGAGATCCAGGGAATTGTGCTCCTCGGGAACCTGCCCCAGTCCTGATGCCCTCCATTCTCAGAAATGCTCACATATTCTGCTACAGTAGTGAGGATGTGTGCTGAGCTTTGGCTCCATACAGCACTGGGTGCTTTCCCACTGACCAGAAGCTGGCTTTGGCCTTCAAAATGGTCCCAAGATCCTTGAACATGCTCTTTAGTTCACGTTTGCCTGAGCATATTATTAAAACCAAATGCACATTCAGATCCACTTCAGAGAGTCCGTGGTTGGATTTAAGAGTCTCGGGGAGCTGTGCTTGCTGTCTCCAGCTTAGTACAGCTGATGGGCAGGTCTGGAGGAACCAGCATTTCCTTATAGACATTATTTATTTTATTTGAGAGACAGAGAGCTTCCAAATACCCACAACAGCTGAGGCTGGGCTGAGCTAAAGCCATGAGCTGGGAACCCAATCCTGGTCTCCCACTAGGGTGGCAGAGACCCAACTCTTCAGCTCTCAGCTACTGCCTCCCGAGAGGCATGGTATCAGAGAGCTAGAATCGAGAGTAAAGCCAGGGCTTGAACCCGGGTTCTCCCACATGGGATGAGTGCAGGCTTGAACCCAGGCACTCCCACAAGGGATGCATGCATCCCAAATAGCATCTTAACTGCTAAGCCAAGTTCCCATTTAGGTTGATTGACTTTTTTCTTTCAAATACTTTATAAGCACTTAAATATTCAAACTATTGGTTAATTCATATTAGCAAACAATCGCTTTCTGGATTAGAAATCTTCCTACTTACATGCCTATGAATTTTCAGGATAAATATACTGTTGAAATTCTATGTCTTCATATATACAAAATGTGGAGAGTGGCAATAAAGTCAAAACTTATTTAGGATAGAATTGACTGAAGGATGTATAAGAACTCCTTAGTGTTGCTAGTTTTGTTAACTTTTTTGCATGTACAGAGAATATTTTATTAGACTTTGACTTTTAATTAACAGAGTAAAATACAAACCAAGTGTGTGATTCAGCTTAGGAATATGTATTTTTATATAATTCATTACAATTAGATAATCAATATAATACACTACATGTATCCCAACTTAATTGGAAGTCTTCAGTAGGAACAAATTCAACACAGTCCTTAGATACAATTTCTTTTAGGTTGACAGCAACACTTTTTGTTATATTTTATGTCTTGTAAATTCCAATAAGTCTATCCAAAATCTCAAACATGTGGTTTCAAAGTGAAATTATGATGAACTGGGCATTTTTGTTCACATATATACAATGCAACAATGGACACATTTTTAAAATCAAAGGCTGCATCAGTTTCATCCATGAAGTAAAGGGGAGTGGGTTTGTAATGATGGAGAGCAAACTCTAAAGCCAAGGAACGAAGTGTTTTCTCTCCTGCTGAATGGTTGAAGATCTTCCAACTTTCCTGAGGTGGTGGAACACTGTGCAGGATTCCTTCAGAGAAAGGATCAAGCTGTCTCTAAGCTCCAGTTCAGCTTCCCCTCCCAGGTAAGCATCTGGTAATTCTCTTGTATTTGTTACTATATAACAGTCTGCCATAAATTCATTCAGCCTGTGTTTCCGCAGATCTTCCTTTGCTTGTCTAAAATTATCTCTTTCATAAGTAATTTTGTCCAAGTCTGCTACCCTTTACAAATATAATTCTTCCTTCTTTTTATATTCTGCAATGGCGCCAAGGTTTGGTTTCATTTCATGACACTGGGCTACCAAAAGTGAAATCTGACTTGTTACGGAATCTGTATTCTTGATTGCTTCAAAATCTTCTTAGCTCAAAACTGAAACTTCTTCAACAGGATTATCTTTCACAGGATACAATGGTGTTTTTTTAAGATTTATTTATTTATTTGAAATTCACAGTTACACAGAGAGAGAAGGGGAGGCAGAGGTAGAGAAAAGTCTTCCATCCACTGGTTCTCTCCCCAGTTCGCCACAATGACCAGAGCTGCACCAATCCGAAGCCAGGAGCCAGGAGCTTCTTCCAATCTCCCACATGGGTGCAGGGGCCCAAGGACTTGAGTGGTCTTCCATTGCCTTCCCAGGCCATAGCAGAGAGCTAGATCAGAAATGGAGGAGGCCGGCACTGCGGCTCACTGGACTAATCCTCTGCCTTGCGGCGCCGGCACATTGGGTTCTAGTCCTGGTCGGGGCGCTGGATTCTGTCCCGGTTGCCCCTCTTCCAGGCCAGCTCTCTGCTGTGGCCAGGGAGTGCAGTGGAGGATGGCCCAAGTGCTTGGCCCCTGCACCCCATGGGAGACCAGGATAAGTACCTGGCTCCTGCCATCAGAACAGCACGGTGCACCAGCCGCAGTGCACCGGCCGTGGCAGCCATTGGAGGGTGAACCAAGGCAAAGGAAGACCTTTCTCTCAGTCTCTCTCACTGTCCACTTGCCTGTCAAAAAATAAATAAAAAAAAAAAGGAATGTAGCAGGGGCTGGCACTGTGGTGTAGCAGGTTAAGCCACCGCCTGCAACACCAGCATGTCTTATGGGTGCCAGTTCAAGTCCCTGCTGCTCCACTTCCAACCAGCTCTCTCCTATGGCCTGGGAAAGTAGTAGAAGATGGCCCAAGTCCTTAGATCACTGCACCTGCATGGGAGACCTGGAAGACTCTCCCAGCTCCTGGCTTTGGATTGGCACAGCTCTGGC